CTTCAGGCTCATGAGCTCCTGGTATTCACGCATCATCCGGGCCAGCTCCTCCTTGGCCTGGTGCAGGGCTCCCTCCAGCTCGTCCAGCTTGGCCCGGGCATCCTTAAGGGCATTGTCCCCTCGCTGCTCAGCATCCGCAATGGCTGTTTCCAGGTTAGAAGCCTAAACAAAGAATTAGAGAAGTTAGGAAACTAGAAGGAGTCATCATCTCCATTCAAATCCTTCCCATTGTTTAAGATCTCAGGACAGAGATGCCCACCTCCACACCCCTGCTCTAGTTGGAGAAGGGTCGGAAGTCCTTCCTGAGATCTAGCTCCATGCCCTGAACTCAGATGTTTGTGGTGATGGAAAATCATGCATCTTGCTCACCTTGGGATGGCAACCATCTGAGCACCACTCAGTTCAAAGACATTTAGAGCCATACTATTTCCAGGACACAGAAGGAGTAAGAAGATTGACTTTCAGCTTTTGAGTTCTTCAAGGTCCCAGAGGAGAGTGGAAAGAGCATGGAACAGGAGGTCCAGTCTCCTGGTCAGGAGACCCTCGTTCGAAGCACAGCCCTACCACTCACCAGCTGTGCAACCCCCTCAACCTCTCTGGGCTTCAGTTTCCCCATCTGTAACATCAGGGATGGTAACTAATGCCCCTCAGAGTCTTCATGAGAATTAAGTGTGAAAAAATGATAGATGCTGCTACTATTTTATTACATGTGTGCATCTTTGTCTTTATCTGCTAATGCTGAGGCTCCTCCCATATTCCTGGGAGCCACCTGGGTAAATCCTCAGTGGGTGTTCCCTGAGACTATTTCTCCTTCTGGGTCATTAAAACAACAAATGTTTATTAAGTTGCTATTATGTGCAGGCCTGCTGCTGGAATCTGGGGAGGGACAAAGCAGCCAGCTCCCTGCCCACTTTCAGTGTAGTGGGGGTGGGAGGATAGGTGTCAGAAAACTCCAGAAGGAATGAACCCAGGCAGTGAAGCACAGACATCTGGAGAGCATGTGGCTGTTGGAGGAGGTCCCAGCCCAGCCTGGGGGAAAGGAGGCTTCCGGGGTGACAGAGCTTCAAAGCACAGGTGCTTGGATTAAGAGAAGAAGTGCCCCAGAGACCCTCCAAGTGTTGGAGGCAGCAACCTCCTTGGCCTCCTCTTTTTGTGTGGCAGAGATTGGGAGGCCACGGTTCTCAGTCAACTCACTTCTTACCCAGTCAGCTCCCCTGCCCTTGACCACGGGCCAGCGTCCCTTACCTGCTTCTTCGCATTATCAATCTCTGAGCGGAGTCTCTGGATGAACCGATTGAGCTCTGTGATTTCATTCTTGGTGTTTTTGAGGTCATCTCCGTGTCGGCCAGCTGCCAGCTGCAGCTCCTGGAACTAGGGCCCCAAAGCACAGAGTTGCAGATGAATATGGGGAGCTTTTCCAGGTTGTGGATGTCATGGGACCAGGGCACAATGGACTCTCACCTGGACACTGCCTCTGTTCTGGGCACCATTAAGCCCCACCCCCATGCCTGCTGGTGTTGCCCACCCAGCCCAGCCTCAGCCCCGCTCACCTTGGTCTGGTACAGGGCCTCGGCCTCAGCCTTGCTCTTCAGGGCGATCTCCTCATACTGGGCGCGGACCTCGTCGATGATGCTGTCCAGGTCCAGGTTGCGGTTGTTGTCCATGGAGAGGATGACGGACATGTCACTGATGTGGGACTGGATCTGAGCCATCTCCTGCAGGGGAAAGAGCGGTCTCTCAGCAACAAGCTTGCCCAGGCAAGGTGAGCGAGTTGCCAGTGGTGCCAACTTGGAACCTGGAACCCATGTCTCTGGGCAAAGTCAGTTCCCTAGGGGTCCAAACAGATTCCCACCACCATGGAGGGAGGCTGGACTCCTCCCTCCCCAGGCAGAGGATGGAGGCTGAGGAGCTTCCCAGAGTTGAAGTGGGAGATGGATGACTATCTGGAGGTCTCCTGAGAGCTGGGCCTCTGTCACCCCAGCCCCCAGAGCAAAGTTGTACCCACTGGCTGCCCTCAGAAAGAAGTAAAGTGGAGAGACAGACTTACAGCCTCAAAGAGACACTTGGAGAACTTGATGTCCTGCTCCATGGAGTCCACCTTGGCCTGGAGCTCTACCTTGTTGGCATAAGCTGCATCCACATCCTACAAAATGCCCATCCATCTCCAGTCACCATGGAGCAGCTGGGAAGGAAATGGCCACCCCAACCCAGGGGCCTCCCTTAGGGACATAGACGCCCTCCCTTCCTGGTGGCTCAGGGAGAAGGGGATAGAGGAGCCATGCCTCAGCACCCTACCCCAGGAGAACCCGCTCCACTGCAGGAATACAGGAAGGAAGCCCTAGCCAGGCCACTGTCTGAGGCACCCCTGTGGCCTCTGGGCCAGGTGCCATGCAGCAGGGGAACTCCTTGGTGTCATGTCATGTCATGGCGGCCCTCCCTGGCCCACACTGCTCTTCCTGGACAGTTTTTCATCACATTCCCCTGCCTTCCCCTCACTGTCTCTGCATCAGTTCATTTTGGGGCAGGTGGCAGAGCATGCTGCCAGCTCAGCATCCCTGGGCCAGGTCAGCCCCCAGATGCCGGCCACCTTCCCCTACCTTCTTGAGCAGCACAAATTCATTTTCCGCAGCTGTCCGCCTGTTGATCTCCTCCTCATACCTGCAAGAGGCCACAGCTCATTGGCTCATGCATTTCACAGAGAACCCCCTTGTTGTGCCCAGAGAAGATCCCGAGTGAGGAGCAGAGTGCCTGTTGGAGGGCGTAGGACTGGGAGGCCACAGAGGACTGGGCAGTGGGGACAGCTGGGCACAGAAGGCTTCCTGGAGGAGGTGCATGCAATCGAGTTTGGAAGAAGAGGATCTTTGAAGATCCAGCTTAGGAAATGAGGAAGAAGCTTATGGAGCAAAAGCCCTGTGGGAAATCTGAGAGGAAGCACCAACCAAGCTGCTCCCCAAAATAAGGGCAAAGCATTACAAATGATGAAGGGCTCCCAGGAAGGGCTCTAGGGTTGCTCCTCAGAGCAGGCTGGGACCCCGCTCCTATTGGTGAGGACCTAGGAGCTTGGAGAGAATGTTAGCGGTTGACCCAAGGTTTCCCTGACCACTGCCCAGCTAACTGGACATTTGCCCTAAGTGCCAGGTCAGAGGCTGGGTGGCAGAGAGCATGTTTTTGGAGGGGGATTCTATTTGGTATGATCACAAGCTCTACCTCACTTTCAAAAACTTTAAGTTGGGGTGACCACCAAGGTCCCTGAGAGGGACAGGGGCTGGTGTCCAGGGAGTGACAAAGGGTCCTTCCTCACTCACCTCTTCTTGTAGTCCTCCACCACATCTCGCACATTCCTCAGCTCCGAGTCCAGCCTCACCCTGTCCCCGGACAGGGTCTCCAGCTGCTTCCGCATGTTGCTGATGTGGCCCTCGAGGATGGGCTCCAAGTTGTTCTTGCAGTTGTTCAGGTCCAGCTGCTGCAGCAGCTCCCACTTGGTCTCCAACACCTGGTTCTGCTGCTCCAGGAACCGCACCTGGAACCCAAAGCCAGCTACTGTGGAGGCCCCACAGAAAGAGTCACACCTGTCACTCAAGGGCTTGGTGCAAAGCACACTGCCTGCATATTCTCCTTCACCTCACTACAGCCACATGAGGTGGGCAAATCAGCTCTGCTCAACAGAGAGGAAACTGAGGCACGGAGAAGTCTCACCTCTTTCCATAGCTGCACAGCTTAATTTCTGGTAGAGTCCAGAATTGAACCCAGACACTATACTCTATCCATCCAATCGCCCAGAGCCCACCATGACCAAAACAGTGCAGGGCATGGGTGTGCCTGGCAACAGTAGGACAGAGCAGGACAGGTGCATCTTTCTGAAAGGCTGAGCTTTCTGTAGAAGGGAGTCTCCTTTTCGTTTCATCACGTCAAGGCTCAATGAGGCTTCAGCCAAAGATATTTAAAGTTCCTCAGTCAGGCCCAAACACCATCTTTCCTTCTAGCCTCTCTCTTCCTCCTTTGTCCACCTTCCCTAGAGCAAGCATGGCAAGTGGGACAAGATGGACAGATGGAGCTGGGCCCCCATGGGGAGTTTGATCTATATACACTCCTCTTGTATGATTTGGGGGACCCCGCTTTCAAAAGGATATTTATCTTGATATGTTTACTGTCTAAATAAGGTTGTGTTCCCCAAATCACAACACAGGACATGGGAACACTGCCTGGGATTCAGCATTGAGATAGGACTGTCCACCAGTTTGTCCCTAGAAGGTCTTCTAGCATTTGCTTTGGTTCAACGAATCCTGAATTCTTTGTGTATTTCCCCAAGACTGAACCACAGAGCAAACCCACGTATGTAGGACCCCAGAGTTTACATGCACACCATGTACCCATCTGGATTGCTGAGAGGATTTGCCCATCTTCTCTGGCAGTCTGAGGTGAAGGGATTGATCTCCTCCTGGGACTAAAATTACTCTGGAACTGTCCAGGTTTTGTGCCTCCTTCCCCATGGGAACAGACCAGCTTTGTGAACAAGACTATCTTCCTGTCCACCTTTCTTTCAATATCTCCAGAAATTCCCCCTCCATAGGATTCAACTAGCCCAGCCAAGTGTCAGGCCATCAGACCTCAATCATCAGAACACCTTGATCTTCTAAATAAAGCTTGGAGGACTGAGAAGCTGCAGAGCCAGCCCTGGCACCTGAGGCCGAGAAGAGGGCAGGAGGGACCCTGCCAGGCTGGAAGGCAGGAGCGAGGTCAGCTCTAATGGCCACATGGCCCAGACTTGGACTTGGGCTGCCCTGTCCTTGGTGCTTGACTGTCATGGAGCCGCCAGCCCTCTAGTCTCCTCCCCTGGATCTGGAGGTGGGAGGCTGAGGGTCTGGTCTTGCCTTTCCCATCCTCCAAATGGCCCTAGGCATGGCGTAATCTCCCAGCCTTTGTTGACTCATAAAAAGGCAGGAGTCTTTCTGCACTGGAGGATCTCTTGAGGTCCTTCCAGATCTAGGATTCCTCTCCTGCTCCCCAGCACCCCTCCCTTAGCTTCTAGACATTAAAAAGATAGTAATGATAACCACCATTTGGGGAGTATTTCATATGTATCAGGCCTCGTGCCAAGATCCTCACGTGTATTTTCTTTTCTAAACCCTACACAACCCCAAGAGGGAGGCCATCATCTCCACTTTAGAGATTAGGAGATGGAAGCTCAGACAGGACATGCAACTTTCCAAAGCCACACAGCTGGTCACCAACGGGGCTGGGGCGAGGCCAGGCCTGACTCCAGAGACGATGGAAACCTCTTCCCCATGGTCCTGTTCTGCCTCTCAAGAGGGTCCTCAACTGAAATAAATGCCCATGACAGAGACATCCGTGAATGCAGAGGACCTGGAATGACCACACACTAATGCCTCTGATCCACTGATCATGTGACTAAGGGACAAGGTCAGCATGGTACAGGAGGAAGACAGGCAGGTCCCCTACAATTGGCCTTTCCTGACCACAGCCTGAATGACCCTAGGCTTAGCACTGGCAGCAAGCTGGCCCTCAAGAGTAAGAACCAGGTCTTTTACCTTCGGATCTCCTGCCAGTGCCTCCATCAGCCTCTGTCAGTAGAAATTGCCTCGGCCTCTGCTTTCTCTCGTAGAGGACAACACCAAAAATCTTAAGGTACTCTAACACAGGGACTCCAAAGTCACCCTGATGCTGGAATATACCTGCCTTGTGCTCAATAAGTGCCTCTTCTTATCTAACCTCAATGCTTCTGCTATAACCAAATTTCATGTTCAAGAAGGGAAGAGCAGAACCATTCACAGATTCCCCAGGTCCTAGCAGACTCACCTTGTCAATGAAGGAGGCGAACTTGTTGTTCAGCGCCTTGATCTGCTCCCGCTCCTGGGCACGCACTTTCTGGATCTCGGGGTCCAGCTCCACGTTGAGGGGGGCCAGGAGGCTCTCATTGACGGTGACCTGGTGGATGCCTCCGGGTGGGCACACAGTTGGGCACATAGGCCCCAGGGCCACACTGCCAAAGATGCTGCCAGCAAAGCCACTGGCCCGACCTCTGCCAAATCCAAAGCCTCCATTCTTCCCACTGCCACTGGCCACGTTGAGGGAAATGCTCCGGGTGCCTCCCAGGCTGTAGAGGCTCCGACTGCCAAAGCCCCCGCTGAGCCCTTTGCCCCCTGCCCTGTAGGAGGACGAGCTGCCCCCAGAAAGCACTGCCGAGCAGCCACTGAAACCCCCCTTGGAGGCAGCTCCAGACTTGCAGGTGAACTGGCGGCTCATGTTGCTGGTAGAGATGGAGCGAGGACGCAGGAGGGAAGAAGGCAGAATCCCGCTAAGGCGTTGCTGGCTGTGCTGAGGACCGGCAGGTGCCTTTATATATGCTTGGCACTGGGCTTGTGGATGGGCAGTCAGGGCTTAATTCGTGGGTTTGGCCTGCCTGGGAGCAAGAAGTCATTTTCTCTATGCTGAGCTAGAGATCAGGCCCTCCCCACCTCTGAAACAACACGAAACCTTCAAATTGCTGGGCTTGCAAGCCTTGCTCATGTAATTTGGGTCTTATCTAATTAACCTGCTGTTATAGGGTAATTTGCCCCAGGCCTCAGCCTCTCCAGGGGGGCGTCACCTGTACTTCACCATCTCTGTTCTGATTAATCTTCTCTGGATGGTTGGCTTCCTCCTGGGGGCTCAGGGAACAGAGAAGGGATGCACTTCCTTGAACAGGGCTGGCCACCTTGTGTCTGGGGGCTCCAACCACAGCTGTGTCCAGAAAGGGGAAGATCACTCAGGTGTTCTCCCTCCCCAGCATCCCGGAGACATAACCCACAGAGAACAGCAACTGTCTCAGCTGGAGTTGGGGTGGAGAGACCCTGTCCTTGACACGGGACATGAGCAGCCCATGTCAGAGCCAGCCGTGGGCACATGGCAGCCAGAAGCTTCTAGACCAGATGTTCACACTTCTCCAACACCCATAATATGGCAGGTTGGGGGTTAGGGCAGGGGCAAGCCCTTCATGCACTGAACAATGAGGAAGAGGAGGGGAGGATGGAGCTGGGCAGAGACTCTGCTAGAAGGCAGACAGAGAAGTCAGCAGCCAGCCCGTGGCCTGGGGATTTCAAGGAAAGATTCCGGAATGGTCCATTCCACTGTTTCTGTCTCTCTTACAAAGTGTATCGGCTAATGAGGCTTGGAGCTACCTGTCCAGGTATCACCTGTCCTCAGCAGCTGTCAACATGAGCTCAAACACATGCTGCATAAGCTGAGAAGGAAGCCTCATGGGGCCCTCCCCACGAGTCCAAGCTTCAGTAAAGGCCCCAGTGGGGGTGACCCAGTGAGCGTGATGCCAACCTTCCAGGCAGTCCTATGGTGCCTGCCTCAAGGCTCTGCCTGCTGCCCGCTCCATCCTGGGTTACTGGCTCCTGTGATGGGCCCTAGTCCCCTCATGATCACCACAGTGGGCTCTGCCCCTGGAGATTGCCCTGGCTCAAAGATCCCTGCTGGGACCCCATGGTGGTCTGCCACTCTTGGCTGGCTGGGACACAGTAGGGAGGAGGACCCAGAGACAGATTGCGTTGGGTCTCTCTCTTACTTGTTTTGGGGTAGGCCTGGAATCCATTTCCTTCCCCTCCTCTGCCTCTCTTCCTCATTCCCCCCGCCCGCCCGCCATCTTGCCTTCATCATTCCTACTGAAGTCTCTCTCCCTCCCTTCCCTCTTTCCACCATCTCTCTCCATCCCTCTTTATTTGCTCCTTTCCGACTTCCATATCCATCCTTCCCTCTCACCCCACTTCCTGCTCTCCTCCCAGGTCTTCCGGGACTAGCTCTGCTCACCTCCTCAGCCCTTAGCCTGTGCTTGGATGTGTGGAAGGACGGTGACTCTGTGCTCAGCTCCTGTGATGTACCTCTAAGGCCACACCACATGCCATCTTAGTTTTCCTCTGTAAGGATGGAGGAAGCTTCTCCAGACCAGAGCCCACCAAGTACACTCCTCCCCCTCCCCCTCCCTCCCTTTCTCCCTTTGGCACACCTTCCCTTAGGGTCCATGGTGTGCCCAGAATTGTGCCCAATTCTGGCAGCACAGAAGTTTGTGGGATAATGCCCTAGGCCTCTTGGGCCACGATCCTGGCATGGTGGTCCTCTGTGCATGGTTTTGCTGGCCGTATGTTTCTGTGCCATGCATGGCAGCATCCCAGGCAGCCACCAATGCCCTGCAGCTGCTGCCCCTGCCCCTGCCCCATCGCGCAGCCCCCTTCCTTGCTGCCCCCTGCCTGGCTAAGGACTCCTCACCCACTGGGCTCGCTTCACTTTGCCAAGCTCAGCCCAGACTCCTTCTCTCACCATCTCTTCTGACCCCAATTCCTCGGCTCCTCTGAAATCCTGCTTAAAACCCTGAACTCTGCCCCATCCCCTCTCCCCTGCCCCGACTCCTCTGTCCATTGATACCTGCCTGTCAGAAACTGTGTTTGCTGGGGTCTGGGTGAGATCCCACGTACCCAGTGGTGACTCCCTCTCTGCTTCCCCTCAGAGTCCAGTCCCAGCCTCTGAGCATCCCACTGTGAAACTCTTTGTTGGGGAAGCAGCCAAACAGAGATGGTTCACCTACATGGGAGCCCGGGCTCCAGGCACCTGAATTCCATGCCATCACTCAGCAGAGGGGCTTGGCATGGCCTCTCTGAGCCTCAGCTTCCCCAACTATCAATGGAGCAATGAATTCCGATACGGTGGTTGTAACGATGACCCATGTTAGTCTACACCAAGTGCTCCCTGTGTATCTGGTGCATACTTAATGTCCAATAACTTTTATCAATGACCAAAAATAGGAAATAAGGCAGCACTGGCCTGGCCTCTCCTCCCTCCTTCCTCTCCCAGGGGGCATCTGGATCAGCACATTCCCACACAGTGGCATCAGATGTTGAGGACAGGGAAGGGGTGGTATCCCCACAGGCCCCAGGCTCTCCACTCAGACCATTCCTGACACTGGATAATGCACCATAAGAAACAATAACAAGAGCCACTGTCTAGTAAGTGCTTGCCAGGCACAAAGCTCAATAGGAAGTTCCCCATAGACACACCTCATGTCCATAGTATTGATCCATTTATCAAATTCTTACTGAGCACCTATCAAGTACAAAAGAGGGCAATCCAAAATCTCCTGCCCCCAAAGAACTTAGTCTCTGTGACCCTTCCAATGCAGATGTCCCTGGAAGAAGCAGCTCATCTGACTATTAACGAGTCATTAACACTCTAGTATGAATTAGTTATCAGCACTGGCCATTAGGAAAGAACCACCCCGTGTTGTTGATGAGGACGATGATAGAGGATGGAGCAGGAGAGTGCGGGCCACCCACAGGAAGGGTGGACCTGGCCTAGGGCTCCTGGGATGCTTGTGTTTTGCTGGAGGGAAAAGGGAGGGAGGCAAGAAAACCAGGATAGGCCCCATTTCACCAAGGTTACAAAGGTCCTGCCTCAGCCCCTGTTTTAATTTAGAGCTAGAAATATTGGGGACAGGAGGTGACAGAGTCCCTGCTTTGGGAGGCCTCCTGACCTAGTGGAGACAACACGTGAGCTACCATGTCGCAGCTTCCTGTCCCTCCTGCCCTTCACAGATGGCTATGTGAGAATGGAATTCTGAGCAATCTCTGACCCAGCATGGACACGCTTGAGCCCCAGTTTTACTCTGTAAATAGGTCACAGGCGGAGTGTCAATTAGAGAATCAAAGCCAAGATCTGTAATTTTGTGTCTCTGTACCTGTGATGACGGCCACTTGGACACATTTGTTTATGATCCTTTGGTTCTGATTGGCATGTCTGCTCTACCTGCTCGGTGTTCCCGGATCCCAGGAGCCTCCAGGAGAGGCCCTTAGAGAAAGAAGGGCAAAAGGGCAAGAGAACCCAGTACCACACAAGAGGGCAACTGCTCGGGAAAGATGAAAGCACAGAGAAGAGGCAAGACTTGGGGACAATAAACCCACCAGGGCTGCCTGGAGGAGGGGATTCGGATTCCAGCCTTTTAAGGGACGAGGCTTGGATGGACTGGAAGTGAGAAATAGGAAAGAAGCCTGGGCCGTCAGGAGGCAGGTCATTTATGAGGAAAAATCCCCCCAGACTGGAGCAATCACGAGTGAAGGGTGACCTTGAGTGACCCCAAATCCCAACTGTTCATGTGACAGGGTGAGTGACGGGGAGCCACTGAGGGCTATAGAGCCGGTGGAAACCTAAGCAGTCCATGTTTGAGGAAGCAGAATCTCACTGGCATGTGGTTAGGACTGGTGGATGGGCAGAGGCTGGAGGCACTGAGAGAGAAGCAGCTGGTTCTCTGAGCAAAATAATCGTCTCCAAAATTAGAGAGAATGAGCTGAGCTATTTGAATGACACAGCCCAGGTCCCGCCAGCCCTCCTCAGCACGTGGACCCAGGACACGGCATGTTGTCTACAATTCCTCCCGAAGTCCACCTCCTTGCACCTCCACATCCTCCTGAAGTTTCAGGTAGGAAGTGCCCATAACCCAAGCCAGCTGGGGGGACTGCAGTTCCTGGGGGACTTGGCCACCATCAGAGCCACTCATCTGGGGCAGGACAGCTGCTTGGCAGCAGGTTTGCTCCTGACAAGGCCAAAGGTGAGCTCATCCACAGAAGCTGGGGTGTAAGGACAGGGGAGTGTCCCGCCAGGCACTCAGCTCCATGCCCATTCTGCTGCATCTGGCTGCCTTGGGGGCAGCCCTTGCTTCTGCCTTGTTTAGCTCGGTGGCCAGTCATTTGGACTTGGCCAGTCATCTCCTTCCTCCCCACCCCGACCTCTGTTGAAGGGTATAGACTTGGGACCCGAGAACCAGGTTTTGGTCCCGCCTCAGTCACTCAGGAACCGTGTGACCATGGCAGGTCTGCTACCTTCCCAAGCCTCTGTTTCCACATCTCTAAGAAGGGGGCACCAACCCCTGCTCCACCTACTTCCCGAGGAGGATGGGAGGTGCTTTATAAATAACCATAATGACACCGCGGCTGCTGGTAGCAGCTACCACTGGGCAATGTTCACTCTGCCCTTCACGTAGACTAATTCATTTAATCCTCACAACAGCCCTAGGAAGTGGGTACCATTATTATCCCCACTTTACAGATGAAGATACCGAGGCCCAAGGAAGTGAAGCAATGTATTCAAGGTTGCACAGCTAGTGCTTGACCCAGGGTTCAGACCCAGGCAGTCTGGCTGCGGGCTGTTTCTTGGCCACCAACTGTCCTAGCTGTCCTGACTTCCTGGTGCATAAACATAGAGAGCCAGTGCCTGCCACAGTCCAGGTGCACACGTCCACCTGTCCTTCCACAGCCTCTGAATTCCGTTCTCCAATGTCCCTCTGGCACCTGAACCATAGTGGAAAACACTGAGCTCATCACTCTCTATCCCAAATGGGCTCCCTCCCCCTAGTGCCCGTGCCCCCGACTCCTGGTTGTCCCAGGAGTGGACAACACTTGCCGTGGAATGCAGGGACTCCAGCTAAGGGCCGAGTGAGGGAGTTATTCATTCATTCACTGTCCCTGACGCCATGAAAGCAGGAGAGCTTGTGACTAGTTGGGTTGAGAGCACATCCCTTCTCTAAGGCAGGAGGATGGACAAGGGGACTTTTCAAGATCACAAAAGATCATTTTCTTTCTTTTTTTTAATATTTGTGCTTTTTAGATATACATGACAGTAGAATGTATTTTGACATATTATACCCACATGGAGTATAACTTATTCTAATTAGGATCCCAGTCTTGTGGTTGGGCATGATGTGGAGTTACACTGGTTGTGTATTCATATTTGAACACAGGAAAGCTACGTCCGATTCATTCTACTGTCTCCTGTTCCTATTCACCCTCCCTTCCCTTCATTCCCCTTTGTCTAATCTGATGAACTTCTATTCTTCCCTCTCCCCATTTATTGTGTGTTAGCATAGGCATATCAGAGAGAACATTCGGACTTTCTTTGTTGTTGTTGTTTGTTTGTTTTTTGTTTTGGGGGGTTTGGGGGTTTTTGTTGTTGTTGTTATTGTTTTTTGGCTTATTTCACTTAGCATGATAGTCTCCAGTTTCACTCATTTATCAGCAAATACCATAATTTTATTCTTCTTTATGGCTGAGTAATATTCCATTGTGTGTGTATACACATTTTCTTTAACAAAAGATACTTTTCAATGAGACTTTCTCCACCAACAAATTCAGATACTCAGTTAAAGCCTCCTGCTACCCTAAGTTTGAAACATGGAGAATATTTGTAAGATCAGAAAACAGGAAGACCATGGCCGAGGGGGAGGCACTGGGAGAAGCTGCAAGAAGGATAGATGAGGTTCCAGGGGACCATGCACAGTGCTGTGACTAGGCATCTTCTGTGTTCATTCAACATTTGCTGAGCTGCATTCTGTGCCAGTACCTGCCGCAAACAGGGACAGGGGAAGGCACAGGCTGCCTTCAAGGATTTCTCCATGATTAGAGGTCTGCCATTGCTGAGACTTGTAGCTTTTGTTCAATCCCAGGTGGAGAGAAGGTTCTAGCAACATTTGGGTTTTGTGCCCACTTTAGCTAGAAAGCAAGATAGAGTGGGGTTGGGATCTTCAGCAAGATAGATATTCAAAATCCTGGTCCAAGTAATGCAGAGGCCAGGGCCTTAGGAGTTGAAGGAAAGGGATGTTGCTATTCCTTGGGCTTCAATTGCTTCAACTCAACAACCAACATCCATCAACAGCGATGATGATGGACACACAGGGCTATGAATGGTTCTCCATGACCAAAGCCTGAGACACAGCAGTTAGTTAAACAAGCCCTTCATTTGCTGGCGGAGTTGTGGCTGCACTTATCTGGGCCACACAGAGATGTCCAGAGGATGGGCAGCTCTTGGCCATTAGAAGTCCAGCTCCTCAGAGGCCCCCAAGACTTCCAGGCTTGTCCTGGGCCAGTCAAATAAAGGGTAGGTTGTCTCTGTCCCTTTTTGGCTCTGGATGGCTCTACCTATCCTTATACCAGGTTTTCAGGTGCCATATAGGAAAGGCTGGGGACACAGTCCAGGGACATGGCTTCTCTGGCCTCTTCTCTGCTATCCTTCCAAATTTTATTTTTATGTTTTATTTAGATGAAATTTACATAAAACGAACCATTTTAAATTGAATATTTCAGTGACATTTGGTATATTCACAACATTGTCCCAGTACCTCTGTCAAGTTCCAGAACATTTCCGTTACCCCCAAAGGAAATTCTACACCCATTGGTAACCCACCCCCACCCACCTCTTTGCCTACCTCTGCAACCGCCAACCTACAACCTGTCTGACTTTGTCTCAGCTGGACATTTCATATGAATGGATCATACAAAATGTGATTTTTTTGCCTGACTTCTTTCAATTAGCATAATAGTTCATAATAGTTTTGAGTTTTATCAATGTAGAATGTATCAATATGGCATTCTTTTTATGGCTAAGTAATATTCCATTGTATATATATACTGTATCACAATTTTCCTGCCATTCACTCATTGACGGACATTTGGGCTGTTTCCATCTTTGGCAATGAGGAGTAGTGTTTCTCTGAACATGTGTGTGTTTATTGTTTGAACATCCGATTTTAATTCTTTTGGATATATCTCTAGGAGTGGCATTGCTGGGTCATGTAGCAATTCTGAGGACCTGCTAAACTACTTCCCACAGAGGCTGATCATTTGATATTCCAACCAGCAACATAAAGGGGTTCCAACTTTTCCACATCCTCACCAATATTTATTTATTTTTTATTTTTTTGATTATCATTATAGTTAACCGAGTAGGTGTAAATTGATAACTTAATGTGTTTCAGTTCCACCTCCTTATTGACTAATCACCTTGAACATCTTTTCCTGTGCTCATGGCTATTTGTACATCTTCTTTGTATAAGAGTCTATTGAAGTTCTTCCCCTATTCTTTAACTGGATTGTTTCCTCTTGTTGAATTCTAAGATTTCCTTATATTTTCTGGAGACACCTTTATTAGATAAATAATTTGCAATTTTTTTCCATTCTATAGGTTGTCTTTTCACTTTCTGGACAATGTCCTTTCATGTACGAGGTGTTTAACTTTCTCGAAGTCCAATGTATCCATTTTATCTTTTGTGACTAAAGTTTTGTATCACATCTAATAATTCATTGTCAAATCCAAAGTCATGAAGATTTACTCCTCTATTTTCTTCTAAGAGCTTTATAATTTTAGCTCCTATATTTAAATTATTAATCCATTGTGACTCATTTTTGTATGTGATGTGAAGTAAGGGTACAACATGGTTTTTTTTGGCACATGGATACCCAATTGTCCCAGGACCATTTATTAAAGAATCTTTGTCCCTTTGAATAGTCTTTGCATCCTTGTCAAAATAGCCATCTGTGTTTTTAATTGAAGTCAACATTCACCTCTGGTCCTGCCACATGCTTTCTCCTCCTGACATTCAGAGAAATATCCAAGTTGAGTC